TCAGAGAACAGAGCTGGCTATTTACTGACAAAAGATACCATAGAGGTTTGGAGGACTGTGGATAGATAGGAGACAAGTAGTAAGGTTGGGCTGAGAGTAGATCTTGGCCCTTTTTGGGTAGAAGAATGGAAGAGGAAGAGTCACTGGTGGCTTCTCCACTGTTTCTCTAATCTTTCAGGTTTTTACACCTGATATCTGACTCCCAATTTTTATTGATAAAGATTAATTGTTTATATTTCATCTGGCCCCCTAAAAGATTTGCTTAATAAACAGAAAGAGGTAATTAATACCCCTAGATATAGATTGCACAGTCGTTTATTAACTTTAATGTTTTAATGCTAATGAAAAGGAAATGGCAGCTGTGTAGAAAGTTAAAACTCATTACCTTTCATTTTTTTATTTAGACAAAAGGGAAATGTTGTGGAACATTGAGTGAAGATATGTTACATTTATTTATGCTGCGGAATATGTATTTCATGATGCAAGAGTGTGTTGCATTCTTTTATGTTGCATTTTTAAACTCTGTGAAGCTCTGTTACTGTGCCCGCCTAAAACACCTTATTGATCAATTAAGATCTGAATGGCCAGTAGCTAGGCAGGATAGGGATAGGTTGGGATGTCAATCAGAGAGAATAAGTAAAAGGAGAAAGAGAGAAGGATTGAGGACCAAGAAGAGAAAGATGAGAATGTTAGGGACCAACCACCAAACTTCACAGTTAGCCACATAGTAAGAAGTAAAGAAAGGTATATAGAATAAAGATAAAAGTCCAAACGCAAAAGGTATATAGAATAATTTAAGAAAAGCTGACTAGAACCAAGTTAAGACTGGGCATTCATAGGTAAAAGTAATTCTCCATGTGATTTATTTGGGAGCTGGATAGTTGGCTCCCAAAAAAAATAAACAGGAAAAAAACTGACTACTGGATGGATCATCTGTGGGTAAATGCCCAAGACTGGTACAACAGCATCCTGGGGTAGATCTATTCCCAATTTTCTGAGGAAATACCATCTTCATTTTCATTGTAGATCTATAAGTTTATAAAAGTTTTTCCCCATAGAAAACTAGAATGATATAGCTAAAGTATTGCTCAGCTCATGCCAGTCAATATTTTAAGAATTATTTATTGACTTGAAATTATTAGGCCTGTTCATATCCCAATATACAAGTTGGGAGGCTCAGAACCACCTGGTACTCCAGATTCAGGGGATCTGACATGACACCCTCTGTTCTTATACACATGGAAGACATTCTTTCTCACACGTAAATATATACAAAATGTGGGGATAAACTTCTTTTCAAAAGTACTCTGCCTCATAAAATAATTAGAGCAAAACAACTTGTTTTAGGTGTGTAATACAAATTATACACTGTATGTTTTAATTTGTTATCTTGTATTTGGTTTGAAAAAGTTCTGTCATCTTTACTCTGATGCAGACTTACAGGCAATCTTCAGTCAAAGGAAATGAAATGGTGCCTAAGTGATCTTAATCAATATAATTTTCTTTTTATAAGAGAATGAGATCCTTTTAGTAATCAAAATGTTTTCCTAAAATTAAAACATCAGAAAGTTTTGTGCAAATTTCTCCAATTTGGTGGAACAGCTCTCCTCACCCAATCCATTTTCTATTCTCAGCAAAGTAGAGAGCTAGAGAGTGCAGAATGCCTACTGGCCAGTGATTTCCTGTTATGTAATTTTGGTTAGTATCTTGACATTCTTGTTTCAGGAACCATAATATGTATTTATAGGCCTGTCTTTGTGTCTTCTTTTGCCTATGATACCATATATGTTTTTGTTTTTATTAATTATCATTTAAATTTACTTTTGTTTTTCTAGAAAATGATAGATCTTCATTAATCTTGTTCAGAAAATATACTATATTTTGAGGTTCCTGAGCATTTCTTGGTTTAGGAAGTTTCTTTGGAAAGCCAGTTTTTGTTTTCTCTTCTTGATCTAAGAGGCTTACTTTTCTTACATCTTCACCAATGATCTGTACCTTGTAAAGATTTGTTACTTGTATTGGTTTAATAAAATACTGATTGACCAGTAACCAGTCAGGAAAGATATGTGGAGTGATCAAAACAGGAAACTCTGGAAAGAGAAAAGGCTTAGTCTACAGTTATCACCCAGATGCAGAGGAAACAAAATGAAAATGCCTCACTGATAAAAGGTACCAAACCATGTGGTTAACACAGTTAAGAATTATGTACTAATGTTAGATGTAAGAATTAGTTAATAAGAAGCCTGTGCTAATAGGCCAACCACTTTATAATTAATGTAGACTTGTGTGTGTTTGTTTGGGACTGAATGACTATGGGACAAGTCACTGTGAAGTGATCATCTTGACCATCATAGGAGACTTTGAACATTAGAACAGTGTAGGGGCTATTGTGGACTATAAGTGTCTAAATTAATTTTCCTAATTAATACCAGGAGCCTATAGTGACCCAGGTCAGAATGCAGTTTATTGAATGAAAAACTTCCCATTTATGAACAATATTTGGGAATATAGGCAATGTTCTCTCCAAACTGCTTCCTGCTTTTTATTTGGCAAAGTGATTTTTTGGGGCTGGTCACAGCGACCTTTTGGGCAGTCTTGATTCATCAAACCACATTAGTCTGGAAGGATTCCACAGGTTCTCATCCTCTGTGGACACAAAAGAACAACCTCTTTTCCAAAGCAACAAATTCTTAGCTCCAAATTCTGAGGATATGATATCTTTAAAGCATATATATTGGTTACTTAGTTCCTTTACAGTCAAAAAATTTCAAAGAAAACACAATAATATACATAATTCAGACACTCTGTATATAGTCCATATTTATGTGGCTTATTTGTTTTTATTCTATTACTTTCTAATATTTATTTTATTCTATTTACTTTTTTAATTTATGACTGTCTCATTCTGTCTCTTTAAAGACTTTATTTCACTTTTTATAAACCATTTACTTCCTTTTATAACTCTCTATATTTTTTCCTTCTCTCTCCCAAGCCTATGTATATATTTTAAACATATTGTGTCTCATTTAGAGGTCTTTTATGTGTGAATCTGTCCTATTGTGTATCTGTAATTCTTTAGTGTTCAGGAGTGCTTCTTAAAATGGTAAGGACTTCCTATGAACATAGGCTGTGTCATTGGTAGAGCAAATACGGCCTTCCAGCTTGCTCCACCCACTCCAACATAGCAGAGGCATGTTTGCTGCCTATGAGAGTCATGTACATTGCCCCATTTTCAGGCACACTGGGAGTCTAAGTTGCCATTAGCAATCTTCTCACAGACCCCATAAGGTCCTCCAGAAAGAGTCAGAGTTTGTGCTGACAGCAAGGCCCAGAATGCTGGCATTTCAAAATGGCGCAGCTTTTTGATTTTTGATTTTGATTTTGATTTCTACCTTTTAATCAGGAAAAACTCTCTTAAAGGAGCCACAGCATGTCATCATTAAGCAAAGTCCATCTGGAGAAATAAATGCGGGTAAACTTCATTTTTTAATGTCTAGAATTCCTTTCCAAGCTCTCTAAGATCTCTAAGACACTATAGCTTTGCAATAGACCAAAAGTAGTTCCTTTATTAACCCATGATAACCACAGCATACAGAGGGTAATCCCACAAAATGAGTTTCTATAGCCTCAACCCATTTCCTGTTCTTTGTGCCTACTGTGTTGTGGTTGAATCTAATCAGTCAGCTTTCTTCTTTTGCTGTCGTAACTTCCCCACCATCTTGAACTCTATCACTAAACCACATAAGATTCAGTAGAATTAACTGCTATTTGGTGCTAAGGTGGTTTGGTAGCATACTGTTTTCATTTTTGTTTGTTGATTTTTGAAAACTAGGTTTCTCTGTGTAGCCCTAGCTATTCTGAAAGGAGCTCTGCATATCGGGCTGTCTACAAACTCAGAGATCTTCTGACTCTGACTTCCAAGTTCTGTGATTAACAGTAGGACAGCGTTCCTGGCTTTTTTGTTTTTATATTGTTGTATGGTGATTTTGTTCCTATCAAGCATATGCTGTTGTACTGAACTTCACCCATATCTTGAATTTTAATATTTTATAGAGGGTATCATTATGTTTCCCAGGATGGCATATATTCATGACATTAATACTGCCTGTGCCTTTGTAGTCATTGGATTGTAGTTGCATAACCTTCTTCCTGCCTGTTTTTGTTTGTTTTGAATTTTTATTTTTGAAAGAGTATTTTACCTGTGTGCATGGATATGCACCATGTGAGTACCTGGTTCTTATGTTGATCAAAAGATGGTACTAGAAACCCTGAACTTAAAATAATGGATAGTTATGATCCCCCATGAGCCCACCTATATGCACAACCTGAAGGACTTTGTACTGTTGAACCATCTTTCCTGCTCTGTGTTATGTGTAATCAGCGTATTAATTACTATTGTTTTCATTTGTCCATTTGTAATTTTTTAAACACACAGTACCTTTTAGTAAAATCTTATTTATGTTGCAGTTTAAATTGGGGCACTTCAGGTTTCTGAATAAAGAGTTGAAGTAAATGCATAACTCTTTGTTGAAGCTTCATTAAAAATCTATGAGTTATTTTTATCTTTTATGTTTGTTTGATTAATTTTTTCATGTGAAAAAGGTATTTAATATGTATTTCTGGATTTTCCAGAAGTGATTGTATGGGATAGGCTTGTATTCAATTCAGAAGCAGAAAGAGATATACTTGCCTCTGCCTGAGTTCAAGGATTAGAGGCATGATTCAATGCATCCAGCTTTTTTCATCTTATTTTTCTTTTTTGTAGTTAGTAATTAATCATTCATACAATTTCTATTGCCTATACTCTGTACTGTTGATCTGCTACATATCTTTCATTGTTGGTTAGTAGGCATTACTCTTACAAGGTGATATCCCAGTCAAAAGGTTCAGAAATGACAGAGGTGAACCTCCTATTCAGTTTGCTTCTAAAGTGAATTGGTAATTAAATTATTATGTATATGTCATGGAATAAGTATGGATGGCACCAGAATTATATGAGTATACTGTCAAAGAAGTATATATTTACAGTGATGTCAAAGTCATGCTTTCTGTTGTACACATTTATGAGATATTTTAGAATGCAGTGACCTATGATGACGTTCATATCAACTTCACTTCAGAAGAATGGGATTTGCTGGATCCTTCCCAGAAGAAGCTCTGCAAAGATGTGATGGAGGAGACCTACAGTAATCTCACTAGTATAGGTAAGACTGAATTATCTTTCATGTTTCAAATACAGGGACAACTGTTCATTGTTTAATGATGCTCTTTTGTAATATGATTGAGAAAAAAGAATGGGGTAAACAAATCAGTCATGGTTGTAAGGTTTGCTTCAAATGGTAACTAAATTTTTTACAATTTCTAATATATAACATACATGTTTTCTGGCACTATATTTTTAGGATACAGTTGGGAAGACCATAATATTGAAGAAGATTGTCAAAGTTCTAGAAGACATGAAAGGTAATTTTCATGTATAACCTGATACAAATGTACCTCAGAAGAATTTGTAATGTATCCTATATGTTTAAAGAAAAGCAAGTGTGTAAATAATAAAGTGCATCGATGTTTATTAAATTCTCAGAAAATCATATACCTTAATTTCAGATAGGTGAACTGGACTTGCAAGTCGTTTTTTTAAGAAAGAAGTCAGGCTTCGGGCCATGGCAGGGTCCTGGTGAGGAGGAGCTTGGGCGTTCCCCGACCCCATAGAGGCCCAGGTCGCCCTGCAGTGCTGACTACCCCCTCCTGCCTGCCATCCCAGCTCCCATCCAGGTACGAATTCCTATATTTCTCCCTTCCCCCTGGGGCTATAAAATTTCCCCAGCTCAGCTGCCTTGCGAGCTGGGCCTGGGCTGTAGGCGCATCCCGGCTGGAGGCAGTTCCTGGGACTTAAAGGCCTCCCTGAGGACAGGTGGACCAGGTGCCAGCTCAGCCACATTCCTGACCAGCAGGGGCCCTGACTTCTGGCAGAGGGCCATCGGAGGGGTGAGTTTGCTTCGGGCTGTGGCAGGGTCCTGGTGAAGAGGAGCTTGGGCGTTCCCTGACCCCATAGACGCCCAGGTCACCCTGCAGTACTGGCTCCCCCCTCCCGCCTGCCATCCCAGCTTCAATCCAGGTACGAATTCCTATATCTCTCCCTTCCCCCTGGGGCCATAAAATTTCCCCAGCTCAGCTGCCTTGAAAGCTGAGCCTGTATTGTAAGCGCATCCCAGAAAGAGGGAGTGCCTGTGCATCAATAGCCTGCCTGAGGAAAGGTGGGCATTCTGTCAGTGAAGTCCCTGCCCAAGAAGGGAACCTGACCCGGTAACAGAAGTTCCAATAGAGAACATTTGAAGTAAGATATGGGCAGATGCCAAGGCAAGACCTCATCCAACAATCTGAAAAACAACATGAAAACACCAGATCCCAAGGACCCTACAATAGAAGGACTTAAACACCTTAACCCAGAAGAAGTGGAAAAAAGTGCCATTATGAAAGGAATAGAGTCCCTTAAACAGGATATGAATAACTCCCTTAAAGAATTGGATGAGAAATATAACAAAAAGTTTGAATAAATGAGTATAGAAATAGATGAGAAATATAACAAAAAGTTTGAAGAAATAAGTAAATCCGTGAATGAGACCCTGAGAAACCAAGAAAAAAACAATCAAACAAGTAAAGGAAACAGTTCAAGAATTGAAAACTGAAATGGAGGCAATGAAGAAAACACAAACCGAGAACCGGCTGGATATGGAAAACCTAGGTAAACGAACAGAGACTACAGAATCAAGCATAACCAATAGAATACAAGAGATAGAAGAACGAATCTCAGATTCTGAAGATACCATAAAGAAAATAAATGTTCTGGTCAAAGAAAACGGCAAATCCAACAAATTCTCTTGACAAAACATTCAGGAAATCTGGGACACAATAAAAAAAAACATATCTAAGAATAATAGGGATCGAAGAAGGAGAAGAACTGCAGATCAAAGGCCCAGAAAATATATTCAACAAAATTATAGAAGAAAACTTTCCCAACCTAAAGAACGATATTCCTATGAAGGTTCAAGAAGCATACAGAACACCGAATTGACTGGATCAGAAAAAAACATCCCCTCGCCATATAATAATCAAAACACAAAACATACAGATTAAAGAAAGACTCTTAAGAGCTGCAAAGGAAAAAGGTCAAGTGACTTATAAAGGTAAACCTATCAGGCTTACACAACACTTCTCTATGGAAACAATGAAAGCTAGAAGATCCTGAATAGAGGTACTGCAGAAACTAAGACACCCTGGATGCAAACCCAGACTACTATACCCAGCCAAGCTATCGTTCACTATCAACGGAGAAAACAAAATATTCCAGGATAAAAATACATTTTGCATGCAAATGGATGGAAATAGAAAACACTTTACTGAGTGAGGTAACCCAGACCCAAAAAGAGGAACACGGTGTGTATTCAGTCATAAGTGGATTCTAACCATAATTAAAGGTCTTTGAGCCTATTATTCCTGATCCTAGAGAAGCTAAATAAGAAGATGAACCTGATGAAGATTATTTAGCTATCCGCCAGGAGGTAGGAAATAGACAAGAGTCCCAGGTAACCTCGGGTGCATGGGGGGGGGGGGGGGGTTGTTGGAAGGGGAGAGGGTTAGAGAGAAGGGAGTAGGGGAGGAATGGGGAAAGCTCAGTGTCCTGGGATGGGGGGAGGGAGGAAGGATGAATATGGGATCAGGGAAGAATATATTTCAACTAAGGGAGTCATTTTAGGGTTTACAGGAGACTTGATTACATATGGGATCCCAGGTCCAAGGAGAGATCCCCAGATTGTTCTCTGGACAGAGGAGAGGGTGCCTGAACCGGCCTTGACCCATAACCATACTGATGAAGATTTTGCTTATCACCATAGATCCTTCATCTGGCAAAGGACGGCGATACAGACGGAGACCCACATTGGAGCACCAGACTGAGCCCCCCAAGGTCCAAATGAGGAGCAGAAGGAGGAAGAACATGAAAAAGGAAATCAAGACTGCGAGGGATGCTATCACCCACTGATACAAGGGGACGGATCTAATGAGAGTTTACCAAGGCCAGTTGGAGTAGGACTGAACAAGGACGTGATCTAACCAGATTCTCGGAATTTGGCCGGATTCTCTGAATCTGGCTGGCCCGAAGTCTTTCTGAAAAGCCATTGACAATGACACTGGGACTTGTTTCCTCTGCATATACTGGATTTTGGGGATCCAGTCTGTTTGGATACTCACCTTCCTGGACCTGGAGGGAGGGGGAAGGAACATGAACTTCCCACAGGGCAGGAAATCCTGACTGCCCTAAGGGATGAAGAAGGAGGAGGAGAGGGAGTGGGGGGAGTGGGAGGATGTTGGGAAGGGGGGCTGAAATGGAAACTTTTATAATTTAATAAAATTACTTTCAAAAAAATGAAAGAAGTCAAGGAAACAATATCTTAACCTATATTACCATTTGAATCATAATAAAATGAGAGCTATACTGTAAAATTGCCAATCCATTTTTTTCATATTATTCTTAGTATAAAATATTTATATGTTGAAAAGGTGATAAGTATATCTCTAAAACTCTCTATTACACTAATAGTCTATAGAAAGGGTGGTTTAACCCATATACTTATTATGTTTAATAAGGGAGCAGTTAGAGTCATGAATCAAGGGACAACTGTTGTGGAGAGGTGTTAATCTAGATACCACGAGTTTATGAGGACATAAAGTCAAAGTGTGAACTCAATGTAAAAACTTTATATTTGTTATTCTTCCTTTACTAGGTATATCATGTGTTTCTCTAGATAGAAGCCACGTGAGCATAGGGATGTGAAAAGATATAACATTCCCCCCTCTCTCAGAACAGATAGAAGATATGTTGCAGTCCCCATGAAGAGTATACATGTTGAATTTGATGTACAAGTATACAAGTAATTGGTTTTCTACTCTCATTGTTAATATATCAATAAGCTCACATTTCAGAAAAGCACCATAAGTACTAGGACTGTGTAAATACTTTGGGTTGTCCTAGTTCACTTAGCATATATAGTATCACTCACCATATAGGAAACTTTATGATTGCAAAGAGTGGGAAACCTCTGAGTTTTTTCTGTTCTCTTCAAATACATGATAATTATCTTAATGAAAAAAAAGATTCTGTAAATGTGAACCATGTAATAAAGGCTAGTATCAGTTATCTTTAAAATACAAAAGCAAGCCTTAATGAAGAGTAAAAACAAGGTTGTAAACATGGTGATAAAACCTTAACATATAATTCCTCTTTAAAATAGGACTAAATTGTAAAATTAATTTATACAGATAAAAAATTCAACAATGTATTGAATGTAGTAATGCTTTCACATGTACCATTATCATTGTAGGCATGAAACAAGTCAAACTAGAGAGAAAACTTTTGTGTATACTCAATGTGTTAAAGCCTTTGCATGTGACAGTCATCTTCACAGGCATGAAAAAACACATACTAGATTGAAACCCTATGAAGAAAATGAGTTTGTTAAAGCCTTTTCACATCACAATCATTTTCAAATGCATAAAAGAGCATACACTGGAGAGAAATCCTATGAATGTAATCAATGTTGTAAAACCTTTCCATGTCATGACTGTCAAAGGCATAAAAGAACATGTACTGGAGAGAAGCCTTATGAATGTAATTACTGTGGTAAAGTCTTTGTACTTCACAGTGGTCTCCAAAGACATAAAAGAAGCCATACTGGAGAGAAACTTTTTGAATGTAGTCAGTGTGGTAAAGCCTTTAGATATCACAGTTATCTTCAAAGACATAAAACAACACATACTGGAGAGAAGCCCTATGAATGTAATCACTGTGGTAAAGCCTTTGCTTGTCACAGTCGTCTCCAAAAGCATAAAAGAACCCATACTGGAGAGAAACCCTATGAATGTAGTCAGTGTGGTAAAGCCTTTGCCCGTCACAGTCATCTCCAAAGACATAAAAGAACACATACTGGAGAGAAACCCTATGAATGTAATCAGTGTGGTAAAGCCTTTGCATGCCACAGTAATCTAAAAATTCATGAAAGAACCCATACTGGAGAGAAGCCCTATGAATGTAATGATTGTGGTAAAGCCTTTGCATGCCACAGTAATCTAAAAATTCATGAAAGAACCCATACTGGAGAGAAACCCTATGAATGTAAACAGTTTTGTAGAGCCTTTGCACAACACAGTCATCTTCAAATTCATGAAAGAAGCCATACTGGACAGAAACCCTATGAATGTAATCAGTGTGGTAGATCCTTTACACAACACAGTCATCTACAAATTCATGAAAGTAGCCATACTGGAGAGAACCAAAGCCTTTGTATTTCATAGTATTCTCCAAAGGCATAAAAGAACCCATACTGGACAGAAACCCTATGCATGTAATCAATGTGCTAAAGCCTTTGTATGTCACAGTAGTCTCTCAAACCAAAAAACAAACACTAGAGAGAAATAATATGACTGCTGAAAGTGTGGTAAATGCTTTCTTTATCATAATCATCTTCAAAGACATGAACACATGCTGGAGAGAAACCCTATGAATGTAATCAGTGTGGTAAGGCCTTTTCACTTCACAGACTCTTCAAATGCATGAACGATCACACACTGGAGATAAAGTCTATGAATGTAATCATAAGTGTGGTAAACCATTTGAATGTATGAATAATCAAAATTATGAGAAAAATCATACTGCAGAGAAATCCTATAGATATATTCAGTGTGATAAAGTTTTGTATTTTACATAGGAGTAAAACTTTGTATGCAAAAATTTGTTAAAATCTTTGCATATAACATTAGGCATTGACTTCCTGATAAAGATACTGAAGACTTCTTATTATAAAGTATTTGGTAAGATCTTTAACCAAAACACTTATAATCAGTTACACAGTGATTTGGGATTCCCCTCTGTTTGCTGTGAATGTGTTTTGTTACCATTGTTTAATAAAGAAGCTGCTTTGTGTCTATAATCTTGCAGAATAGAGCAAGGCAGATATTCCAAGCAGAGACAGAGGAGAAAAGAAAGTGGAATCAGATTCCATGTATCTGCTGAAGACGGCAGATGCCCTGGAACCTTACTGGGAAATCACAAGTCTTGTGGTAAAATACAAAATAATAGGAACGGGTTAATTTCAGATGTCAGAGTAACTTAATAAGATTTCTGAGCTAGCTGGGCATTGGTGGCATACACCTTTAATCCCTGTACTTGGGAGGCAGAGGCAGGTGGATATCTGTGAGTTCAAGAGCAGCCTGGTCTAGAAGAGCTAGTTCCAGGACAGGCTCCAAAGCCGCAGAGAAACCCTGTCTCCAACCAACCCCCCCAAAAAAGAAATCTGAGCTAAAAGGCCAAGCAGTGTTTTAATTAATATAGTTTCTGAGTGGTTATTTGAGGTCTGGGCAGCCAGGAATGAACAATTAAACTCTGCCTATAAATTTGGCAGTGTTAACAATCTTTTCAAGTATTATGTTCTTTTTATATGGTTTGTACTTACAAACTCATGGTAAAAATGAATTTGTGAGTTTATGAAGCCCTTTGTATAGGGTAAATGGGTCAGGCAAATAAGCACATCCTGAATCTGAAACCAGAGCCAGTGAAGTACATAATTTGGACTCTGAAACTGGAGCCAAAGAAATATATCCTGACTCCAAAACAAAGACAAAGAAACACACTTTGTTTCTGAATCCAGAGACAATGAAAGAAACACCTGGCCCTGAAACCAGACTCAAAAGGTTATAAGGGGCTAGTGAAAGAACACACTTTAACTCTAAAACAAGAGCCAAAGAAACACACGCTATGCTAGACCAACTGAGCACAACACCTGTTAATCCCTAAGCTCGAGATCTACCAACCCCAGAGCATGAAATCCATCCAAACTCTGCTTTGTTCTAGATCAGAGATTAATATCTAACCAATTTCCACCCTGAGAATCTTCTCCTGGAGAAAATTCTGCCCCTAAGAAGTCCTATATAAGTTCTGTACCTTTTCAGTTGACATCTGCCTATTTCTGTCCTAGCAGAGGCAGCCCGTCTCCTGGATTCTTCCCTTCCAAATAAATTTCTTTAATGAGTTTAGGGTAAAGATCTTTCACTGGAGTGATAAGAAACTTTGTAGTGGATTGGAACAGAGAAGCTTTGATCAGCTCTGCTGGCAAACTCTCTTAAAGGAGCAGAGCAGAAGTAGCAACTCTTCACCAGAGACTGCAACATTTCAGCAGCAATTTCCCATTAACACCAGGGAAACAGAGAAGTAACTATTTGGGCTGAAGCTGAGAAAACAATTGACATCTCTATTAGGAAACTCCCTCATGTGGTGGAACAGAGAAGTATTGGAAACCTCTGCTAGGAAAGTCCCTTAGGGAAGTGGAGCAGAACAGCAATGAACACGTCTGCTTTGAAGCTCTCTTAGCAGAATGAAACAGGGCCCATCTGTGATGGCTTTCTTGGAGAGGAGCAGAATTGCTACATCCTGCAGGAAGAACCTCTCCCACTGGACCACAACTTCAGGTTTGGCTGGGCTTTTCAATAGTCAGTATATATCAGGAACCATCTTTGACAAGTATACCACTTACCAGGGTAGGGGCATGGGGAATAGAAAAATAAGTAAAGAGAATGAAGACACATATGATAATAATAAATCAGAAGCATAGGACAGTACTGGGAGGGAGTTCCAGTAAATATTGAAAGTCTGCCTGCAGTTAATTTTCCATATACTTTTATACCCTGACACAACAGGGGGAAGAAGACAAAAGATGCTTTAACGTGATGCATAGGACAACTAAAACAGTTACTTGCTTCAATTCTTTGAGCCATCAAGTCCGTGATTGTTAAGAAAAACATTCTGTTATTCAGGCAGTGAATTCACCCTAGACCAAGTATCCTAAAGGCAGTCAATCCCTAGGTGAAACCTCTTAATTCAAAAGGAGAAGTATGTTTGAATTTTTTCACTTTCCCAAGGGCGAGTACATTCACCTGTATGGGCCCTCTTAAAGTCCAAAACACAAAACTAGGACACCTTAGGTAAGGGTGTGTAACCACACCTGTTAACAACTTTGAGCAACCTCAAACTCTGACCTTCAGATAAAGTGGAAATAGACTCCTGGTTTTGGACCTCCACAAGAACAACTTTTCTCCTCATAGCTGTAGGGATCCAGTATACTTTCCCTTCACAGCTGTGGGTATGGCCTGACTTCTAACTGTCAGGGTACCTTTTTCTTCAGAGCCCTAGGTATCAGCGTACCTTCCCTCTACAGCTTCATTAATAGCCAAACTTCTCAACAGTCAGTTAGGCTTAGGGGTTAGGGTTAGGAGTGTTAGAGGTAGGGTTAGGCAATTTAAAGGTTTGAAAGTTTTTCTATGTATGTATAGTAGTCTGGACTGGCATCTGGTCTCTCAGAGTGTTAGGCACATCTGTTCAGGGCCTTTTGAATTTTAAAGTCTTCCTTGAGAAGTCAGATATAATTCTAGAATGTCTGCTTCATATGTTACTCCGTCTTTTTTCTTTACATCTTTTAATATTCTTTTTTTATTGTTGTTGTTCTGTATTATTATTAGTGTCAAGGATACTTTCTTTTCTGGCACAATCTATTTGGTGTTCTGTATGTTTCTTGTTCCTTTATAGGCATCTCATTTAATTTATGGACCTTTTCTTTTGTAATTTTGTTAAAAATAATTTCTCAGCCTTTGAGCTGAGATTCTTAACCTTCTTCTATTCCTATTATTCATAGGTTTTATCTTTTTATGGAGTCTTATTTCCTGTATTTTTTTCAGGAAACTTTGAGATTTAATATTTTCTTTAACTAAAATATCCATTTCTTCTTTTGTGTCTTCAACACTTGAGATTGAGATTCTCTCTTCTATCTCTTGTGTTCCGTTGGTGGAGCTTGACTCTGTATTTCTTACCTGAATTTCTAAATTTTTCATTTCTAATATATCCTTAATTTGGGGCTTCTTTATTGATCCCATTTCCCTTTTCAGGTCTTTAACAGTTTTCTACATTTCCTTTCCACTATCTCTTTGCATGTTACTTGATTTCTTTAAAGGATATATTAGTTCCCTCTTTAAGGTCCTCTATCTTCATATGGGTGGTTTTCAGGTCTTTGTCTTGTGCTTGAAGTATATTGGAATATTCAGGGCCTGCTGCTTTGGAGGATAGATGGACTCTTGTGGAATCATATTGCCCAGAGTGTTATTGATTGTGTTTTTACACTGGCATCAAAGAATCAGTGATTAGGATGATTAGAGATATAGATGCTGATTTATGGGTTTGACATTGTTTGGTGAGTGTTTCTTCCCCTGGTTTTTGTTTTCTTTATGGATTTTAGGAATGTATAGTGCCTGTATGTTGCCTGTTAGGAAATTTTCACTGGAACTGATAGCAATAGCCAGTAGGGATTTTAGGTAAAATGGTTTTCTGGGTATTTGTAGCTTACTCTTCATAATAGAGGGAGACTAGGGTCTGAAGGCATTCACAGGAGGAAGAAGAGCAGAGCCAACAGTGGTCTGCTTATTTCACATCCTTTGAATGGGGGGAGGCAGTGAAAAGAAATCAGCCCAGAAGTTCTGCTATAGCAGTAGGTATGGGACTTGAGGGTTAGATAAGGAACAAGGGAAAGGGAAAATTTACAGACAGCCTTCTTGCTTTCTTGGCAGGAGTGACCTGTGGCTTATTAAGGGATGCTTCCTAGTTGTAGGCTCATATAAAGCAATAAATGGAGAGAGGCATTTTAGGAGGGGAAGGTCTATAGGACCTACAGATATCAGCAGACAGAGAAGGAAGATACATTATCTGCTGCATTACCTGCTGCATAGATAGGGATGAGACTAGAAAACTGGGTTTGGAGGAGAGGAGAGGAAGGAGTCTGAAGGTCTTCAGTTAGCTTATCTGCTTCCCTTGCCTGTTCAGAGAGTACTTTTGCACGGAATGTCTGCTGGTGTTGGGGGTGGGATGATGGTATGAGTTGGAGGAGAAGATCTTTGTGATCCACTTGAGATGGGGTCAGAGAGGAAAGAGAGATGGCAGCAGTTTCCCTGCTACAGAGCTGGAATAAGAGTTTGGGGGTTGTATCTGGAGAACAGAAGGAAAGGAGTGGAGACAATATCTGCCCACTTGTTGCCCTGTCAGGAGCAGTTCTTGGATTATCAAAGAGTGTCTGCTGGTGTTTGGGTCCGGGCAAAACAACAAGTTGGGGGAGAGAGGTTAGAAGGGGAAGATGTGTGGGATCCACAGGAAATAGGAGTAGGGAGAAGAGAATAGGTAGCCACAGGTGGTGTTCTGTAGAACTTGGATGGGACTGGGGGACTGGACCTGGGGAAACAGAGGGAGAAGAGAACAAACATCTGTAGCCTACCTTGTTTGCTGTCAAGCATGGTCTGTGCTTGAACATTTTATGTGAACTTGGGAACACTGTTGACTTTCTGGGTGCATGCTACACATGGAAGTCAGAAGAAGGTATCAGATCCTCTGGAACTGACGGTAGATCTCTGTGTTGTCTTTCATTGGTTGCTGGCCCTGCCTGGCTGACTGTGCCCAGATA